TGAACTTTCAGTTAACTGTTGGCCAGTGAAAAGGGTGCCTGTCTGCTTCCTCACTCCTCCCAGCGTTTAGAGAGTGGATTGGGAGACAGTCTTCGGACTGCCTGGTCCTGGGCTGCCTGGACTGTCTTTTCCCTGCCTTCCCTGAACCTTTCTTGACCTAAGAAAAAAAGGAACAAAATATCCCCCCTCTAGTGGTCGAAGGCGGAATAGCAGCTTCCCATTAGTTTCTATGGACAGAAAAGAGCAGATACGGATTAAATGGTTTTCAATGCATTCCTATGGGAAATGCGGATTTGACTTGAGAACTTTTTGACTTGAGAACCGCCTTCCAATACAGATTAAGTTCTCAAGTCAAGACCCCACTGTATAGGACACATTTTAAAAACTAACTTTCAAGTAAGAAGGTCCATTTCATTTTTTTTTGGACTACAAATTCCATAAGTCTCTTTTCTGGGAGTCCCATCTGTCAGACTCAGACCTGACCGACATCTAAATTATGCTCACCTGGAGAGAAGGCACAGCTGGCAGGATCCATGCCTCGGTTAGGCCTAGCTTCCTTTCCAAACCATAAGTTTCCTTTTCCAAACAGGAAGTTAGGCCTATCCTAGGCATGAAACCTGCCCGCTGTGCCTTTTCTCACAGGTGAGCACAAGTGACATGCTGGCATTGTTTGCTTTAAATCTTGTTTGTTTAAAAACAGTTTAAAATGTACCAGTTGCTAATTTCAAGTGTCCTGAAAATACTTGATAGGGCCACTTCTTTATCTGACCCATGTTAAAAATGTCCATATTCAGATCTGTTGTAAGGATTCATTGGAGTGGTATTACATATTTGCGAAGATCTAATGGTTGTTGTGGGTTTTTCGGGCTCTTTGGCCGTGTTCTGAAGGTTGTTCTTCCTAACGTTTCGCGTGGCCGGCATCTTCAGAGGACAGCACTTCAGAGTGCTGTCCTCTGAAGATGCCGGCCACAGAGACTGGCGAAACGTTAGGAAGAACAACCTTCAGAACACGGCCAAAGAGCCCGAAAAACCCACAACAACCATTAGATCTTCGCAAATATGTAATACCACTCCAATGAATCCTTACAACAGATCTGAATATGGACATTTTTAACATGGGTCAGATAAAGAAGTGGCCCTATCAAGTATTTTCAGGACACTTGAAATTAGCAACTGGTACATTTTAAACTGTTTTTAAACAAACAAGATTTAAAGCAAACAATGCCAGCATGTCACTTGTGCTCACCTGTGAGAAAAGGCACAGCGGGCAGGTTTCATGCCTAGGATAGGCCTAACTTCCTGTTTGGAAAAGGAAACTTATGGTTTGGAAAGGAAGCTAGGCCTATTTTGGGTTTTTTTAAATTTAGTATCATAGAATTGTTGTAGGGTTGGAAGGGACCATGGAGGTCTTCTAGTCCAACCCCTTGCCCAAGGCAGGAGACCTCAGACCATTCCGGACAGATGGCTGTTCAATCTTTTCTTGAAAACCTCCAGCGATGGGGCACCCACCACATTGGGAGGCAAGCTGTTCCACTGCTTCATGGTTCTTACCCTCAGGGAATTCCTCATTTCCAGGTTGGATCTCCCTCTGATGAATTTCCACCCATTGGTTCTTGTCCTACCCTAAGGCGCAATGGAGAATAAATCAATGCCCTCTTCCCTGTGGCAACCTTTCAGATACTGTATTGGAAGACTGCTCTCATGTCTCCCCTCAGCCTTCTCTTTGTTAAGCTGAACATCCCTAGTTCTTTTAGTTGCTATTCGTAGGATTTAGCCTCCAGTCCCATTATCATCTTTGTTGCTCTTCTCTGCACCCTTTCCCGGGCCTCAGCATCTTTCTTGTATTGTGGTAACCAGAACTAGTCACAGCACTCCAAGTACAGCCTCACCAGTGTGGAATAGAGTGGTCCTATCACTTCCCGTGATCTTGATGCTATCTCCCCATTGATGCAGCCTAGGACTGTGTGGGCTTTCTTGGCAGCTGCTACCCACTGCTGACTCATCCTTAGGCGGTGGTCCACCAAGACACCCAAACCCCTCTCACAGATACTCCTGTCAAGCCAGGTACCACATATCCTGTACTGTACCTGTGCATCTGATTTCTCCTGCCTAACTGCAGGACCTTACTCTTCCTGCCATTGGGCTGCATTTTATCCAACAGGGCCCAATGTTCAAGTCTGTCTAGATCGTATTCACGAAGGCTTTCATGGCCGGGATCTAATGGTTGATGTGGGTTTTTCGTGCTTTTTGGCCGTATTCTGAAGGTGGTTTTTCCAGTTTGCTGTCCTCTGAAGATGCCGGCCACAGAGACTGGCGAAACGTTAGGGAAAAACCACCTTCAGTACACGGCCAAGAAGCTCGAAAAACCCACAACAACTCTGTCTAGATCCTTCTGAAGGTTGAGTCCATCTTCCAAAGTATTAGCCAATCCCCGCAGCTTGGTGTCATCAGCAAATCTGAGGAGTGCTCCTTCATTTCCCTCATCCAGGTCATTGATGAAGATGCCAAAGAGCGCTGGGCCCAAGACAGAACCTTGAGGAGCCCCACTGCACACTTCCCTCCACGCAGATGTGGTTCCGTTGAGGACCACACATTGAGTGTGGTGGGTCAGCCAGCTTGCAAATCCATCTGGTCGTTGCACTGTCTATCCCACTTATATTTTCAGGCAGCAGAGAAGTGAATCAGCGGAGACGAAGGGGTACTGGACAGTTAATTTAAACTGGGCCTAAAGAGATGCCAGTATAATTTAGGCAAATGTTAACATGGGTCAGATAAAGAAAGGGCCATATCACGTATTTTCAGGACACTTGAAATTAGCTACTGGTACATTTTAAATGGCTTTTAAATCAACAAGTTTGAAAGCAAATAATGCTGACATGTCAATTTTGCCCAGTCTGTCCTTCTAATTGTTGTCATTAAGTGTTTGCCTTTTTTAAAAAACCACTTACCTTCCCAAAGCTTCCTTTCCCCAACATTTTGTGCAAGATAAAATGATCGAACGTTAGTCTCGGCAGCTGTGGCTGGACGTCCTCCCTAGGTTCCCGTTTCACCGGAGAATCGAGACGCGTCGTTTCGCCCACCGGAGATTCCCAAGAAATTCCTTGAGGTTCTACAACAGAGCCCAGTGCGTACATGTCAGGACTGATCCAAGAGATTTTTGCCACACGTGCTTGAGGTCAAGCAGCATCAGAGCAGCTCGGATTCTCCGTTGCCACCCCCCAGGTCAAGGTGCCCGGATGCCCAAGGCCAAGCAAGTTATTTTGAAAAAAGGCGGTATTACAAAATTTAAAAACAATAGAACCAATGAACATGCAAAAATTCCAAGATGTAATGAGGAGCTAAACTCTCACCGAGATCCCTAAACCACTGAGCTATTCAGCCAGCCCACCTTAAAGACTCCCTGTTATATTTTAATATGAGCTTTCGCGGATCAAGTCCATATGGTTATAAGTCCATATGGTTGCACAGACAAACCGAGCTGCTTCTTTGGTAAGAAGTTACAGGACATTTGGAGCATATTTACATTCTCTCAGCTTCGTTTCTATTCAGGAAGTTCTGATGAGTTCCGTATTTCTGAATTAACAGTGGATAGTAACCAAATAATTACTGAAAGTATAGTCAAGTGTCTTGCGGTAGCTATTCTGCCATGGGCAGAAACCTAAGTTGTTCTGAGCCTATTCTATCTGTCTCACATTTTATACAGTGGTGCCCCCGCATAGCGACGTTAATCCGTTCCAGGATTAACATCGCTATCCGGAAACATCGCTATACGGACCGTAAAACCCCATAGGAATGCATTAAACTCCATTTAATGCGTCCCTATGGGGGGAAAACTCACCGGTAAGCGAAGATTCCCCATCCGGCCGCCATTTTCGCCGCCTCGGTAAGTGAGGGCAGGGCATGAAAACACTGCGGGCGGCCATTTTCTGCACCCAGCGGCCATTTTGGAACTGCCGATCAGCTGTTTTCTAAACATCGCAATGCGAAGATCGGTAAGCGAAACGCTTACCTATCATCACAATGCAATGTTTTGCCACCTAAACATCGCAACGCGATCTCATTAGCGATCGCAAAAAACGTGTCGCTATGCGGGTTTGTCATTAAACGGTGCGCTCGTTAAGCGAGGCACCACTGTATTTTGTTACACTTATTCTGTTAATTCCACACATGCTGTGTGAATGAAGTAGATTGCTTTCAGTTTAAATTTGATCCTTTATTTGTTGTTTCATTGCCTGTCTCCTGGAATAAGTTTTTTTTTAAAAAAATCAAATAAATAATAATTTTATGATTTTTCTGGATCCCCAAACTGTGTGGCCTGAGACAGTTGCCTCATTCTGCATAATGTTAAAATATTGCAAACTTAATTGAAATATTTCTTCGTTACTCTAACAAACGTCAGATGCTTGGTGTTGTTCATCTCACTGACTCTGTCTGTCCACCCTTTACTAACACATGGCAAATCTTAACCTGGGGATCAGAATTTAGAGGAAATTCTTTCATAAACTACAGCTCCCAGGACTTTCATAAGCATGCCCAGTGGCTATGCTAGCTAGAAGAATCTCAGGATTTCAAAAAATCAACTTTTCAAGTTCTCCTGGAGACAATGCAACATAGCTTCCATGCTTGTAATCTAGATACAGTAGGACCCCTGTATTTGCAGGATCAGTATCTGCTGATTCATTTACCCATGGTCTGAAAATATTAAAAATATTAAAAGGAAAAAATCCTAGAAATAGCTTCTTCTAGAGGTCAAGTTGCTAGAACTGGCCACTAGAGGGAGCCAGAGACCATGCTATGGATAGTGTTCACTAGAGAAATATATTTTTATGATGCCATTACCAGAACTGGCCACTAGAGTGAGCCAGACACCATGCTCTATGTATAGCATTCTCTACTATCTGTGTTTTCCATTATCAGCGAGGGAACTTGGAACCGATCCCCTGCAGATATGCGGGTCTTGGTGAGCTTCCTCATCTCTTTTTTCCTGTCATGTTCAGTATTTCTTAGGTGAGTATTTATAAAAAGTAACCAATATATAGTCCAGAGGTGGTGGCTCATATTTGGAGGAATCCAGTAAAGAACACAACACCTTTTTTCTCCACTGGAGGCCCCGGCACCGAAGATGTGGATGATGCCTCTTTGTCAGGGAAGATGATTTCGACCGGTCCTTCTCTCAGGATGCGCTCTGACTCACGTAGACTCCGAGCCTGGCACAGAGTGAAGAAAAAAAAAATACATCGCTCAGACAACACAGCAATGTAAGATACATGGGATAGTCCAGAAGTGTGGAAACAAGGAATATGGAACGCTAAGGTTCTGGAGGAAGGCAACAAAGAATACCATAGAACAGCAGGAGGTATTTCTGTCCCTTTATAGCTCCGTGCAAGGTCACACACACGATAGCATCCAAAGCGGTTTAAAGAACTAGGGTGTTGCTAGTTTGAGGTGGACTATATAAAGATATACAGTATCTGAATATAGAAAATATTGTAATAGTTCCCCATGAAACACACAGTACAGTGCTTGGAAACAACACATTCAATTGAACGAGTTAAAACCAAAATGGTTCTTATTAAGTTAAAATGGGAAGACAAGCAAACCAACACATCTGAGGTGTCAAAAATAATGTTTGAAAGTAATATTGAGATTTGATCACTCAGTTGGCTGCCCATAAAGAGGAGGAAATGGTCTGCTAAATATTCTGGACCTAAAGATACTTACAGTTTTGGGGACTGATGCAGAAATCTTGACTGTAGGAGATGTTGGTAAGGAGTCCACTTGATGTACAGGAAAAGGGTGGTGATCTTTTCATTGCTTCATTGATTCTTTTGGAAATCATAAGAGACCGCAAAGAGCCAGGACTATGGTTTAGGGGTGGGGATGCTGCCATTACAGTTGTGCCTCGCTTAACGATTGCCTCGCTTATCGAGGAAATGGCTTGACATTTAGGTTTTTGCGATCGCAAAAGTGATCGCGAAACAATGGTTTAAATGGGAAAAATCTGCTTCACGATCGGTTCCCTGCCTCGGGAACCGATTTTCGCATTACGACGATCTGAAAACAGCTGATCGTCAGGCTTCAAAATGGCCACCGGATGTACCAAATGGACCCCGCTGTTTTCTAGGACGGATTCCTCATTTTACAGGCACTGAAAATGGCCCCCCCTATGGAGGATCTTTCGTGGACGGTGAGTTTTCAGCCCATTGGAACACATTAACTGGGTTTTAATGCGTTTCAATGGGCTTTTTTATTTCATTTGACAACGTTTTCACTCTACAGCGATTTCGCTGGAATGAATTAGTCAGGCTTCAAAATGGCCACCGGATGTACCAAATGGACCCCGCTGTTTTCTAGGACGGATTCCTCATTTTACAGGCACTGAAAATGGCCCCCCCTATGGAGGATCTTTCGTGGACGGTGAGTTTTCAGCCCATTAGAACGCACTGGAGGGTTTTCAATGCCTTTCAATGGGCTTTTTTATTTTGCTTAACGAGGATTTCGCTCTACAGTGATTTCGCTGAAACGGATTATCCTCGTTAAGCCAGGAACTACTGTACAAATGTGGCCTGTTCTGCCCACCTTCCAAGCCTCCAGAACCCTCTCATAGTCCCCAGAAAGCTATTCCTGAAAGTCTCTCTTTCAAGTAAGTTGCATATACAGAACCACACCTATCCGTAGGTTCCTCAGGATTTTGTCCAGAGCACAACAATTCTAGCTACCCACCTGCTGCCTGCTCTCTATCAGTGCCAAGGCTTCTGCCATGAGCTTCTGGTTGACGCCGCAGAGGTTTGCCACTTTGGTTTGGCATTTGTGGTGGACGTTCATCGCACAGGCTGCAAGGAAAATGACAGGGTTAGGTTTCTGATTCTGGTGTGGGTGAGAACAGAGGCACTCCTGTGAAGCTGCTGGCAATGCCTTCCATACTATGCTAATGTCGTTGCTGTTAGTATTTTTGCACTATGTGGCTTAAAAGGACAGCATGTTGTCACTGATGCAGAGGCACTCCTGTGAAGCTGCTTGCAACAAATGCCTTCCATGCTACGCTACTGCCGTTGCTGTTAGTATTTTTGCCCTATGTGAGAACTTTCCTTCAGGGGCTGACCTTCATAAAAGGATCTATGAAAAAGCAGTACAGAGATTCAAGCAATGCTACACAGTTAGGGGTCCTCGTGGAAACAAAGTTCTGCCCACAATGGGAGTAAACTGGACACTCCAGACTGCTGGCTTTGGAGGGCTTAAAAGGACAGCATGTTGTCACTGATAAACAGCAGAACCCCATATCCACGATGGATCAGTTCCAAGTCCCATCCGTGGATGCCGAAACATGCGGATAACAGCAAACATGAGCAGTATACATAGCATGGTCTCTGGCTCCCACTAGTGGCCAGTTCTGATACTAAATTTAGTAATTTAGATTTCCAGGATTTTTCTTTTAATATTTTTTGTATTTTCGGACTGTGGATAAACTAATCAGTGGATACTGATTCCATGGATAAGCAGGTCCTATCGTACTGATTTAGAGGTGCAGAAATTGAGCTGTGCAATTCACTGCCACGAACAAACGGGATACTGGTCACAGTACTTAAATTTGTTGTTGCGCCGGCCTTATAATGCAGTTGGTGTCTCATAAGTTTGTGGCCATTCGCTGTGACCAGTTTACCCAAATGTCAGACTTTTTTTGTCTTAAAAATGGCAGTAAACACCTGGACTGCTTACCTTCACATTTTAAGCCCTGCCGTGCGAGGCCCCAGAGCAGCGTTCCACAGTGGTCACAGAATGTGGGGCTTTTGTAGTTGTAAACCTTAAATCGGTGAGGCATGTCGATCTTAAACCTCTCCTTATGGAACTACACACAGAGACAAAAAAAGAGAGAGGTGAATATTTGCTTAATTGCAGCAGGAACAGGCAAAGCAATTCAGTGCTGAAAGCTATCATTTCAAATCTTTCTCAAGGCAGAATTTCCCGTCTGCAAAAATTAAAACATCCTTTCGGCCACCAGGAGGATGATACTGCCCTGTGTTTTGCAACAGCTGTAACCTACACTGGTGACTCGTTTTTAAAAACCTCAAGTATCCATGGGCCTCTACCAACACCCACCCACACTCTGGAGCGACTAACAGAAAAAGAAATATTAAAACATTCAAGGACTACAACAATCTGTTTAGATTTTGGAGCTGCTGAAGAAGGCAGAAGTGGAAATCCCTCACTGTAGCAGCTAAATAGTTCTGTTATTCTAATATTAATATTCTTAAAACCCAGGTGGGGAGGTTCTGAAGGTCTGTGGGCCATAAGGACCACTCATCTTTGGAGGTACATTAACATCCTGGGGGGAAAAAGCCCCCAAATTGCAAACAGCACCCCTCCCCAGAAGACTCTGAGCAGGTGTGACAGGCCATGTAAACCCAATCCACCTCCTGGCCTCTACTTGGTCATAAAAGGTTTTTTAAAAAGCAGGAAATGATCAGCTAGGCATTTCTGCTTAGCTCTTTTAAGGCTTAAAACAGCCTCAGATGGCCGAACAATGTCTCTGTACTGAAGACACCTCTCACAGAGGTTTCTGGGGATGTAATTTGTGATTTGGAGGTCAGATGTTCTTGGTCAACTCCCAGAAATCCTGGCCAGAAGAGGTGGTGGTGTAGGCTTCTGGGAGTTGTAGTCCAAGAACATCTGGAGGCCCAAGGTTGGGGACCACTGCAGTAACCGATAGTTCCTTCCCCTCCCCTCAGAATTCAAAGAGAGACCTGCCTGCTGAGAGTTCTATTTCCCTCTCTGTTGTCTGTTGGCAGTCAGTTAGCAGATGGTCTGTTTGTTGTTAGTTTGTTGTTATTTGTTCACATCTGTAAGTAATGAAATGTTTTTACTCTTTCTCCTATGAGAGTAAGTTGTCTCAGAGTAAGTTATTGGAACTGTTAAGTGCCGGATAATGAGAAAGGGGTGGACTATCTGAGGAACTTGAAGCTATTGTCCTCTGTGAGTCTCTGCAATTCTGCTACGAATCAAAAGGAGAATTTTAGCCAAAAATTCAAAATTTGTTATTTGTTCACATCTGTAAGTAATGAAATGTTTTTACTCTTTCTCCTACAAATGTCTCAGAGAAAGTTGTTGGAATTGTTAAGTGCCGGATAATGAGAAAGGGGTGGACTATCTGAGGAACTTGAAGCTATTGTCCTCTGTGAGTCTCTGCAATTCTGCTACGAATCAAAAGGAGAATTTTAGCCAAAAATTCAAAATTCTGAAATACTAGGGAGGCCTGGGTGCCATATGCCAACTGTAGCCTGCACTCTGCCCTCCCTGCTTCAGTCAACTAATTGAGGTCTTCCAGGAACCAGAGCATCTGGTTTGAAGCGCTGAAGTTTTTGTGCAAATATGGAGAAATCACACATAGTACAGTTCATTGGTTTTGTCTTTGCAACAAGCCTGTGAGGTAGGTCCCCTCCCATCTTTTACAGGCGAAGGATGAACATGCATCTCATTTTACAAGCACATTTATCCAACTCACATGCTGGTCTGTTGGATTTAATACACATGTGTGAGGTACGGGTGAAGAGAGCTTAGTTCCAGATCTCCACCAAGTCATAACATTCCTACCTTTTGCAATGAAGCCAGAAAGCTTTCTGAATATCATCACCATCATCTTAGAGCTACAGAGCTGGAAGGGACCATATGGATCATCGAGTCTAGCCCTGACTGTGTCCTTATTTCTTTCAGTTTAATCTACCTGTAGTTAACCTGTAATTTATTGTGTTTTTAGCAGTACTTGTTTTAACATTGTGAACCACCTTGTGTCTCTGGCCTGGGAGAAAAGTGGCTTACAAATGGTACAAAATGAATGAATAAATGAATAAAATCAAGGAACAATTGTGCGATTCCCGTTCTATATCGTAGGACACTTTCATGCAAATGGACGGTGGTGGTGAGATGGTAATTGATTTAGTTCAGTTGTGTGAAACATTTGCTGCATGATGACTGAAGGCCAATAGTAAGTCTCAACCCGAGGAGGTCCATTGAGTCAAAGGAACTTGCATAGGTGTTGGCTCACCAAATCCCCATGGTTCAGTGAACTGACTCTAGTCACAGCTTACTTATAGATTTTTAGCAGTGTGGTTAGAGGTCTCTAACTGTTTCATGACACAGGCTGGACTTAACAACCTGGAGCAGTGGTTCCTGTTAGAGTTCAAAGAAGTGAATTTATGGGGTACAGAGGTGTTGCTCTAAAACTGAAAAGTTCTTTTAAAATGTGTCTCAGAGAGCTGCAGTAGCAGTAAAGGTACTATGGAAAAACTACAGATGGGGAAAATAGTTTACAAAACAACTAGTTGTTTTCAGTACAAAAGGAACTGATGAGATAACAGGCAGAAATAGCTCATTCAGTTTCATGTCAGTTTTTCAGAGGAAAAAAGTAAACAACAGAATGCTTATGTTATGCGAAACAGAGATAGCAACAAGAAAAAGAAAATAGAAATGCAGTTTGAATTGCTGCTTGACTTACGTTTACCTATAAGGTAAATTAAATTAACAAAGAAACACCACAAAGCAGATGTGGGAACCTGTATTAAACCAATGAGGATAACTATACATTGTAAAATAGAAGTGTTTAAAAACAGTGTAAAAGGACAAAAGGATGAAGGTTATTTTAAGCAATTTGTTTAACAACACACAAGTAGAAAAGAAAAACAAAGGTTCCACTTGTTTTGTAAGGCTTTAACCTCATGATTAATGAGTTTTGAAGAGGGTATAAACTAGTATATTTTCTGCAATATTTATGAATGAAATATACGTATGTACTGTATTGTCCCTAATGCATGGTATTGTCAGTGAATTACATCATTTTAGCTCAAGGAAGGGGCAATTTCTCTCTGACCTTGAACGGCCAGGAGCAAGCCAGTCCAGGCGCTGGGCTCTCAAGGAGGAGAACATCTTGAGATTAGAGGCCTCCTGACCTGAAACATGTAGGCTTCCTATTGGTTGAAAGTATAAACGCTGACAGAGGTTGTTTTGATTAATGACATTTCACAAGGCTATAAATGGTGAGTTCTCAAGCATGGATATAAAATGGAGAGGCATCCTCTCTGAAGTGAATGGAAGACACATTGAAAGCAGCCACGAGATAAGATGGAAATAACATAGCCCTTTTATTTCAACTGGCTAAGGCTTGGTTAGAAAATGTTCTTCTGTGTGTGAACTATACGATGAGAGCTAACTAATGGTTTTTACTTTGTATATTTTTTACTTTTAAATTTAACTTTTAATTTTACTTTTTACTGCCAGCCCACATTTAAAGCCCAAACCCCCTCCCCTCAGACCATCCGGTCAGGGAGAACAAAGGTCAGCCTAGAAGAAAATATTTCGCCAAATAAAATGTCCTCCCAAACACAGCTCACCTCCTGCCTCAGTTTCCACTTCGCTTCAGGAAAAAACAAAACAAAACAAAAGTGATGGTTGCTGTGGGTTTTTCAGGCACTTTGGCCGTGTTCTGAAGGTTGTTCAGCCAAAGAGCCTGAAAAACCCACAATAACCATCAGATCCCGGCCGTGAAAGCCTTCGAGAATACGAAAAAAAGTGTTAGTTGATGACCTGGAATTATTGCAGTAATTAAGACACCTGCTTCAGGAAAAAACAAAACAAAACAAAAGTGATGGTTGCTGTGGGTTTTTCAGGCACTTTGGCCGTGTTCTGAAGGTTGTTCAGCCAAAGAGCCTGAAAAACCCACAATAACCATCAGATCCCGGCCGTGAAAGCCTTCGAGAATACGAAAAAAAGTGTTAGTTGATGACCTGGAATTATTGCAGTAATTAAGACACCTGTAATAAGATGCCCAGCCAAAATTTAAGATTACTTTTACTGATTACTGGTTTCATTCTGGTATTAACCCTTTACTTGCATAATGTCAGCTATGACGAATGATAGAATCTATTTTCTTTTCCTGAGAGATCTTTAGATCTTTCTGGGACTGTTGGGGATTCAGTTATCCTAATCAGGTTCTGACATTCCGAACCTTTCTATTCTTGGACTACAATTCCCAGAAGTCTCCACCACCAGCTGTGCTGACCCGGGTTCCTGGGAGTGGCAGTTGACGAACACCTGGGTTAGCCAAGGTGGAGAATCACAAATCCAGAGGATTCCTTCCAGTTCTGGAGTTCTAAGACAGTTTGTGTTGTTTTTAATATTATTGCATTTCACTCAGTTACATACCATAGTTTCTCTGCTATTGATGGCTGAGCCGGTGCATTTAGCTATTACTTTATCAATGCACTTTTTGTGGATGGCAGCGTTGCATTCTGCAGTAAAAGAAGGGAAAAAAATATCATTTTTTAAAAAAAAGTACTCTGACAGAGAAGGACTTTAAAAACAGCAGATGCATTGTTCTGCATTGTTATTATGGTATAATAAACTAAAGTTCCAATGTTTTCTTGTCCTTGGAAAAGTTATTGAAAAGGAGATGAAGGCCTTTGCCTCAAGCTGTGAAATATCTTGGATCATCCGTGATGTATGTAAGTGGATTGGGCTGGGTCAGGTGGGAATCTTAGGGAAGGAACCTGATAAGCACAGAAGAGCGATGCAAACAGCAAAAGCTTCCAAGTCAAGAAGAAATTCTAACTCCCGCAATCCTGATTCCCCACCCTGAGATTTTATAATTTTTTTTACAATTTTTTTTACAAAAACTTTTTTTACAAAAGAATTTTTTTTTTACAATTTTTTTAAAAAAAGCAAACTTCCTTAACTTTGAGGCCTTGACACCTAGTAACTCTGCTGGAGGCGTACCTGCACAGCGAAAGAACATCAGTACAATTATTTCTCCTATTTCAATATTGGTTTTGACAGAACATGGACACAATCCAACCTAAGAGGGACATGTGTGCATGGAAATCCTCAGCATGTGTCTTTTAGAAATAAGTTCCACTGTGGTCAGAGTAAAGCAGAGGTCTAATAGCTGAAGGTTGGTCACTCTGATGTCATGGAAATGGTGAAATCTGCTCTGGCTTTTAGTTCAGATTGTAGGGGAGCACTTCCAGGCTTCTGACCTATTCTGAGGAAAAAGCTCAGTGCTCTGAATAGCTCTTGACATGTTCAGACTAAAATCTGGGGTGGATTCCTCAACCCTGTGAAATCAGACTGCTGCACAGGATGGGAAGAGGAAGTGTTTTATTGCTGACAATTATTGCCGCCAGTAGTGCCCTCCCAGCAGCATCAATTTTTAGTAATGAAAGACTTCTTCCTGCCGTCCCACAGATCCCAAGGTTTTCACTCTGTGGAAGCCATGGGAACTGCAGCACAGAAGTAGGAGGACTGTAGACTGAACTGATGCCGCTGTAAGCTAAAGTGGGATGACAAACCTGTGTAAAGTGGATTGCGTTATGCATTTTGTACAGGCTTTGCTTTCATGACTGAGCTTTCCCCCACCCCCAGTGACCAGACTTTTTGTTGCTATGTACAAAAAGCCCTGTATAATAATATCTATTATGCTAGTAATCAGCATTACCATTAGTGTAATATAATAGAGTTGCTTACGCCTGCATTGATAGCCTTGCTTGTTAAGACCCCTGGAAAAATATATAGGGAAAAAGAGTTAGTACAGATACATTCACTGTCCACATTTGAGAAAAATTATTTTTTTTTAAAGACAAAGCAACACGAGGAATTATTTGATTGATTTATTTCTATTGTGCAGCAAAGCAGAATGGAACGATGTGGTTAAAAAGACCACTTTTGAACAAACCGGAGAAAAATACAACATTGTAAACTCAACCAAATAGGCAAAGCCACAAAAACCAGAGGATAAAAACGTGGCAAGACGATTGGCATTCTGTAACCTTGAGATCATCACTCTCATGTGACTGCTTCTGGGATCACCCCACCCTTAGGTTATTCCCCCTACATGATTGTCTACTTTTGCAACTATTAGGGTTTTCTCAGAGCCAACGAGGCCATCTTCCAGGGCTTCGTTGGTGCCATTTCTGCAGCTTAAGCAACGGCACATACACAGCCTGGGCAAATTAGGGAGAGAATGATGATTATCAGAGATGTGGCATTACTACTGTAGTGAAGAAGCACATGTTTGGCAGCGGGAGGCCCCCGGTTCAGGTGATGGCAAGGCTGGGAAAGAGGTCCCATCTGCCTGCTTCTGGTGTCATCAGCCATGATTGTTATCTCCCGGGAAGCCATCCAGAAATTGAAAAAGGAGGGAAAAACATGCCTAGAGATGGGTGCTAGGGAGACAGAAAAAGCCCTTACGAAGGGCCTTATGAAGACAGACTTTTGAGGAAGTCTGTTTATGAAACCGGATATTATTATTTGATACTTGCAGTGGGTGTAATCAATATTTGGTTTGTGTAACTGGTCTTTAGCGTAATTTGCTAATTAGAGATGGGCAAAAACGGAATCGCCAAGCAGGGAAAAAAAAATGACAAAAAGGGCTGGTTTGTAGTTCGGTCCGCAATCCAATTCGGGGATCCTGTTTTGCTGAAGCAAAACGAAGAGCTGAACTCTCCCCCCCCTCAGTGCTTCGTTTTGCTTTGGCAAAATGGATGTCAGGCAGTCCCTCCTGGCATGAATCCGAAAAACTAACCATGAACCGGTTCATTGGGGGTGTGGGGGAGGGAGTTTGTTTTGTGATGGTTTGTGGGCAGCCACGAACCGTCACGAACCACCGGTTTTTCCAGTCCGTGCCCATCTCTAGTGGTTAATCTTGGTTTATCTGATCTACAATAATCTTTGTCTTATGTACCACTTCATGGATTTGTTGCTATCCTCCTCTGTGAGTCTCTGGGTAGCAAAATAAGACAGAGTTTTGCCGGAAATTCCAAAATCCTGCAACACAACCATCTACACAACGGCACACTGCACAAGCAGTTGGGCAGAACAGGATCCAGGCCAGGCTGTATAAACCACGTATTGTTTTCTTGACCAACATGTCGTGGGGATGGGAGGCCTGGGTAAATACCTGAATTTAATCCGAGAATCGGATCATAGTGATCTAGTAAATTTTAGCAAAGAAGAAGTTGGTTCCCTCTTCCTTACAGTAGGAGATTTTTGGGCCATGCAGAAAAAAGAACAAGCCATGTATGTCCTACCAGACGAACTCGTGGCAAACCGAGCAGAAGGTGGGCTGAGGGAAGAAGGTGGCCGTGAACTCGTGGCATTTGACGTTGTGGATCTTGGCCTGCTTGATGGCGCCTCTGCGCTGGTGCAGGGAGAAGAACCCTTCCTTTTCACAGTCGATAAAGTCTGGGTCATCTGGGTGGAACGAAGAGAAAGAGAAGTCAGATCCTTCTGGGTACGAAGAAATTCTGTGGTCAGGCTAAATTTAAACGAGTGTGAAAAAGTTGCCAGCTTTGAAAACCCCTGCAAAAATAGTTGGCCGTCACTTCTCAAAATGCACCGGAGTTGAGCTAAAGGAAACAGTGGATTTGTGCAGCGGCGCTCGTATTTCCCGTCTCTGCTGAGTAACCCGCTTGTTCCGAAGGCAAATGATGTATCTGAATACTTTCTGACAGCCTGGAATAATTAGAATATCAAGAAAAATGGTTCCAGCCCCTATTTATCCTTGGTGTGCTAGATTTCTACAGGAAGGGAACAGAGCTTGTTCACTGGGATGGATTTGATTTAAATCATTTTTTTTTCTAAAGGAGATATTTTTGACAATTTAATATTTTTTTTTAAAAAAATCAATATTTCTTTAAATAATGAATTAAATCATGATTCACACCAATCTGACTTTTAAAAAAATCATTTATCTGCCCTGCTTGACCACGATGGACTAATCTTGTTTTAAAAAGTAACATTTCTACAGGGGCTGAACTTGATGATCCATCCATAGGGTCCCTTTCCAACTCTGCAGTTCTAAGGCTATTCTTCTTCATCATCATCATCATCATCATCATCATCATCATCATCATCATCATCATCATCATCATCATCATCATCATCATCATCACCACCACCACCACCACCACCACCACCACC